CCGAAGTAAGCACGAACCGAGGTCCCACCTCCCAAACATGAACCGAGGTCGCACCTTCTAAAGCAGGTGACAAGGCGCCTATGCACCCCCATTACGAGTTACGAGATTTATCATCATTCAAATGGGACCCACTGGTCCTGCCGCCCACTAAAAAGTGGCTTTATGAAAAAGCTAATGCACAGATCCCGATATGTACATAAAAAGTTACTATAAATAGCTACCCTATGATGCTTGTACGGGGATCGATCCCGAACTCATTAATATGCAACGCGTAACAGCCTATAACGGCTCTTCACCTCGGTTCACCTCGGACCGGGGCCATTGTTGAGTTGTTTTTACATGCTTTACATTCAAATCGTTAATAATTATCATCTAAATCACTTGATATATCGTTGTTAAGAATCATACGACAACAGTTTGGCGCTAGAAGGAGGGCCTCATAAGTGATTTGAGGTTATTCTCCGCTTTCACGTGTAGCAATTAACGTCAGCCATATCCATCATGTCTCATTCAGATCATCGTGGCCACACCTCACGGGACGGCCACAGTCGCAGCGCCGCGTAATCCGCCAGGCGACAAACTGTGGCACCTCCTATACCGGATTATGCTGCTCTATTTCAAAATCCGGAGTTTGCACGTGGATTTGCCGCTCTGATGGCCCAAACGATCCCAGGAACATCAACGACTGCTCCGGGACATTCCGTCATTCCCACGACTCCTGCAAACCCACAGAATCCACCGATGCGACAGGATGGTGGAAGGACTACATCGCATGCCACATCTCAACCTCGCGATCGAGCGTCGCAGCCGCCTCCGGAACAAACTACACGTCGCACCGACGTCGGACGTAATCCCCTCGTGCTTCCTCACGAAGAAACCGCAGAAAGTCAGTCTGGACATTCACGACGGTCGCCACCTCAGGCACGACAACGAATTCCGTCCAACCCCGCGCAGACTGACCTTCGGCAGCATATCGAAAGGAATCGGGCTCGTCAAGAATCATCCGAACTTGAAACATTACGACGGAGGATTGCCGAACTGGAGAGTCGGCAGCGGGTACCTGAAGACCCCCCTAGGCGGGCCTCGACTTCGGCGCAGGTGTATTTAGAAGCAGACTCCCCCTTACACCGGAGCTCACTTCGGAACCCGTACCTGGGAAAGTTAAAGTCCCTCAAATTGGGCTATATAATGGAACTTCAGACCCCGACTCACACCTCGGTCAATCTCATTTCATCGGGGCTCAAGTCTGCCTAATCCCAAAAGAATCTCTTGCAAATGTCACTCAAAAAGACGATGAAAGTGTCAAGGATTATATAGCCCGATTTAATGACCGAGTTCAAAACATGGAGCCTTGTCACCCCGAAACCTTGCTCGTCATGGCTATTGCCGGACTGAAACCGAATTCGATTTTCCGCTGGACACTGTGTCAAAATAAACCGAACATTTTTCAAGAATTTCTCACCCGAGCTCAGCAACATATTATAGTTGAGGAAGCCATGTCGGTCCCTGACTTTAACTTTAATCCGAAGTCATCTAAGGCAGGAACCGATGAGAAGAAGAAGAACAAATTTTTTGAAAGAAAAAACAAAACCCAGTTCAGGGGACCTCCCCGGGGAGATCCCAACGATCCTGAAGTTCGAGCAGCCCGAAAACAGTATGCTACCGATGTGAAGTCTGGTTATCAAACCGTATATTCCGCAGGGGCAGCCACCATATACGAAGAAATCAAAGGGAAGGGCATTTTACCAGATCCCAAACCACTTCGGATGCCCGAAGAAAAATTGGATAAGTCCCGGTATTGCGGTTATCATAAGTCGCCGGGACATAATACGGACGAGTGTTTAAGTTTGTTAGCCGCCCTATTGCGCTTGATTGGTCATCCGCAACTTAGAAAGTTCTATCGCAATACCGATCCCCAGAGACGAGGTCCAGGGCGTCAGATTGAACCCTTTGATGAAGACGATGAAGAGGACCGAGGCGCCATGCCGAAACGCATCCGACAAGGAGATAAGGAAGTATTCATGTTCACCTCGGAAGCATCCAATTCTGACTCTGCTGGAACTTCCCGAGGGCGTAAGCGAGACCGATCTCCTATACCGATGCAAATCACCGTCCATCGTGTTAACACCAATAATTCCCGGAGTACATTATCCCGTCGACAAGTCAAAGCTTATGCCCGACAAGCGTACAACTCCGACAAACATGTCTACACTACCGATTTGAGAGACATTCTCAACAATCGAAATTGTTCCATAACCTTTAACATGGAAGACGCTAATCATTTCGCACACCCTCATTCCGATGCGCTTGTTATAACTGTCCCTATATGCGGAATCTCCGTACATCGTGTTATGGTAGATACTGGGGCCTACTCGAGCATTTTGATGTTAAAAGCTTTTGACAAAATGGATCTCGATTCGGCCGACATCCGACCTTGCAATGACCAAATACAGGGATTCAACGGAAGCATTTCAAAGCCTATCGGCGAAATCACTTTACCTGTCCGATTTGGTACTTCGGAGAATGTCACTAAGCTCGTCATGGAGACTTTCAAGATTCTTGATATTAACAATGAGTACAATGCTATCATTGGCAGAAATGCCTTGTACAAACTCCGAGCTGCGGTTTCAATCTTTCACTACGCATTAAAGTTCTCGACTACACGAGGAGAAGGGACGCACTTCGGAGACCAAAGAGAGGCTCGAGAACTTGTCACGTTTATATCATCTAGCGGAATCCATTCCATCTCTGCGAGCAACGATAAGTTTGTCTTATTTATGTTATTTCTGCTACATACTCTGAATATATATTTTCTGTCTTATTTATGTTATTTCTGCTACATACTCTGAATAAATATTTTTTGAATAGGAAAACCTTCGACTGGGACCTAAACTCCAGTCCTAAACTGTTGATTTGTTCAAGCTGGTGTTGATATATTCAAGCTCACTCTTGGCAATGCACAAAAGAAAGAGAGAAGCAACTTTATTTTTCTGTTGAATTTTGTTTTCTTTTAGTTAAAAATGCGAGTCACTTGTAAACTCGCGTTTCCCGTTTTATCTCTTTTCCTATGTTTTTCTTATGAGTATACGTGTTGCATTCGCCAGCTACTTGAGCTGAGGGAACAAATACGTTGCACCGTATGAACTTCTTCAAGTTTTTGAGATCTAAAAATTCAGAGCTCTAAGCTCACCAAAAATGGCGATTGCGTTTTCCGTTTTGATCTGATTGTTTTGTTCGAACACTTAAAACCTAGATTTCTACATGGTATCGAGAGCTTTAAGCTCACCAAAAATGGCGATTGCATTTTCTCTTGCTCGTTTATCAACTTATTTTAGTTGGTATTAGTTTTAGTCAATAGATTACCTGGTGTACATTGTTCTTTGAGTTTAATTCATGCTTTATCATTTTTTTTAAAAAAAAAGAATCTCTATTTTTTGAAGAAAAAAAAATTGTTTTGTCAAGGTGACCATTGAAGTAAATATTAAGAGTTTAATATTTGTAATAAATATATTATACTTTTTAAAATAAAAAAATGTGTATTTGTTTGAGATTTCTTAGAACTTTTAAATATCTAGAAACAATAGTTTATTTGACTTGAGATTTAAGACTTTTAAAAGTATCAGAGTTTTCATTTGAGGTTTAATATTTGAGGTTTTAAATAGTTTAAAGAGTCATGATTTTTTAATTTTTTTTATTTCAGTCACAGTTTTGTTTTGACATTTTTAAATTTACTAAACTTTCAAAAGAAGAAATTGTATACGAAATTTCAATCTGCATCCTTCTCCATATATAAATTTTTTGACTAGAAAGTCTCCAAGATAGTTCTTTTTGTTTTTTTAGTAAATAACCAAGATAGTTCTTAAGTGTACTCTCATAGCATATTTTTTTTTTTTTTTTCTTTCAATCCGAACTTTATAATGCCATTGTTACATATTTCAATTAATCAACCAAAATAAATAAATAAATAAAAATGGATTACACAGAGTATCCAGTGATAAGATAAAACCTCCCATACTTCTCAAGTTCTTACACTTAGGACTGCAAATGAGTTAGCGCTCGAGTCAATTCTCAACTCAAGCTCGACCAAGGCCAAAATTGATTATTTAGATTAAAAATAGTATATATATATATATATATATATATATATAAAACTTAGTTGTTAAAATTTCAAGCCGAACTCGAGCCATGTCGAATAACGAATCAATCTCAAGTATTCTTATTTTTTTTTCACGAGTCGAGTCGAGTCGAGTCGAGCCCCATTTTACATGGATCACCGAGCAGTAAAGACAAAAGTTCGATCTGCGCTGGACAAGATCCATGCTCTTGACTCGACTCGACTCGACTTGTTTGCAGCCCTGCTTAGACCTGATCTGCCCAAGATTCATCCATCCTCAAAACCTCTCCACAAACATCCATCTTCGTCCCTCCAATCAACAATCAATCTCCCGTAAATCTCACGGCACCTCGGGTGCGCCTTATCTCCAGCAAGAAACATGTGCACAACTCGCCCCAGCTGCACCCGGGACCCTTCTTCACCCTCCCATGCCTCATCACTCTCCTCATCTTCGACACCCAGCCCCACATACCTACATTCGCATACACATTCAAAAGAAGCACGCAAGCCGACGAGTCTTGTGGGTCGAGCTTGAGAAGGGCACTCGTCGCTTTCTCGGCTACCTCCACATTCCCGTGCATTCTACAACGTGCTAAAAAGCATCCTCCAAATCACATCATCGGCTTCCAACGGCATTTCTCGAATCATCTTAGTGCATCCGCCACATGGCCCGAGTTGCTTGAGTTGAGGTTCTAACTCGTGCTCGTTTTTCATAATGTTGAAGCAACCGAGTGCCTCGTCTACAAGCCCGATGTGCCCGCAAGCTCGAAGGACCGCCACGAAAGTTGCGTGGTTCGGGACTATTCCCTCGAGCTTCTCGACCGAGCCCGCACGCCATGGCTAGCACGCTCCCCACGAACGAGTCCTTCCCAACCCGGATTTAATCACCCGCCCGTGAACTTCCTTCCCATGACCCAAAGCTCATTCTCCTGCACAAGCTTTTAATACGCTCCCGAATGTGAACTCGTCTGGCTCCATCCTCAACCGAAGCATGGAAACAAATTGCGACAAGGTCTCGTCGTTTTTGTTCTGTTCACAAGCTGCAATGACAGAATTCCAAGACAAGGCATCTCTTACTTCCATCTCGTCAAATACTTGACGAGCTTCCTGTAAAGATCCACATTTACTGTACGCATCCAAAATGGCGTTGGCAACGCAAATACTGTATAAAAACGGTGTCTTGGCAGCTAAACCGTGCAATTGAGTTCCTTCTAACCGTCCTCTGATTACTGCACACGCACTGAATGCGCCCGAGAGGCTTATTTCGTCAAAACCGAGACCGGACCTCAATAAACGTATAAACAACTAGAAACCTTCGAACCCACGATGACTTCGGGTGTAACCTGTGATTGACGAGTTATGGGACTGCAAGTTGTAATCTGGCAAAAAGTCGAACACTTTCCGGGCATTAACTAAACTGTCGCATTTCTTTAAGACCTAAAGACACTTGCGTATATAGACTGGCTGACCCCAATTCCTTCCTTCTGCATCTCTTTAAGCAGTTGCAAACCACTCATATGCTCAGAACAACGGCAAAAGTGGTTTCGTCATAAGACAAACCTTCTTTCCCCATCTCCACAAATATCTCGGCCTTAAACAATTCCCTTTATGAAATTAACCAGAGATCAGAGAGTTCCACGAAATCACATCCCTCTCTGTCATCGATCCGAAAATCGATTGGGCCATATCCATTTTTCCACAGACTGCATACCCAGAAATCAGAGAGTTCAATCAGACCACATCCCCTTGGGACATTTTATCGAACGCTTTACGAGCAGTGTCCAAACGGGAGCATCTTGTCTACATCCTCAACAAACAGTTTGAGACGAAGACCCTGGGTTCGAAGCCCGATGCTATCATCCGGGCGTGGGCCTGCCGGCCCGGTTCGAGGGACCGCTCTCTGGAGCATTCTTGGAACTAAGGGGAAAACGTCTTCTTATAAAATGGGTTCGGCTGAATTTTTGGTGCGAATGTGGAAAGTGAGCGGATGAATAAAGGTTTGATGAGACGGTTGGTTGAGGAATGAGAAGCCGTCGCCATTGCCGCCTTTTGAATTGACGGTGATGTTTTGGCCGTCAACTGGACGTGAACTTGAACTACAGTAGTTATTTTTGTGCAAGATTTAATACTAACTAATCAATAAACATTGTTTTTCCTTTTTAATTTAAGAATATAACTTCGTGTTGTTTTTATTCTTTTTATCCATTATGCAAAGATGATTGCCAACAAATCGAGTGGCTCGAGAGTGTTTAAGTCAAAAATTGGTTTGAGCTCGAGCACTTTGAATATGAACTCTAGTCGTAATACTCCTAAATACTCCTATAACGAGCTAAAAATTGGTTTCAGTGCTTGACCAACTGCTCGAGTGTTACCTAAATACTCCTATAACGAGTTAAATTCGAGTCAAACGCGAGAAAGCTTATCTGAATACAAATTTTAATTGAAAATTAAAATTGAAATCTAGTGAAATTCGAGTTGATGAAATTATGAGCCGAGTTTGATCTGATCTGAAGCGTTTGTATATGTTAGTCGAGTGGAATCTTAAAAAGTCAAGATTGAGCTCAAGCAATTGTGGGAAAATCGAGCCCACGATAAGATCAATGCTCATTTCGACCCGGCTAATTTGCAGTCTACCCACAATGTCGTGAAAATATAATTTTCATTGTTCCTTTTCTTTCAAATAAAAAAATAAGAGAAAGTTAAGTTTGTATTTTATAGATTGGCGAAAATCGAAAACTCAATAAAAATGTTAAACTACTTTTTCTCATCTGAACAATCGTGATTTTCGAGCATCACTATATGAACTTTTTTTTTACAAACCACCATCTAAACTATACGAGTTTGTCAAATTGCCTCATACACCAGAAATAAAAATAGTTTTGATTAAAAATAGTTGATTTGTGAGGGTATTCTCGTAATTATAAAATCTTTCAAAAACGTAAAAAAAGTGAAATATGAACAAAAAAATGTAGTTCGCATCATGTATATATAATCCAAAAACAAGTTAGTGGTTGAAGGGGAATTCATTTTCTTTTTTCATTTTTCACGGTTAGCTATGAACAAGAAAGAAAATGGCTGAACGCACGATGAATGGGAAAAAAAATGGTCTATGCGATCGCATCATGAACGGGAAAAAATGGCTGAACGGAACAAAAAAAAAAAAAAACGAGTGGTCAGCCAGTCAGGTAGCAGCAAGAAAAAATAGTTGAATGCGAGGAGAAAAAATATGGTCGGCACCCCGGTCACAGCCTCATCCAGGGGAGGAGCTACATGAAAAAATAAAAAATATTATGAATTAGGTACAACTATAACTCAAATAATAGTTTAACACCCTATTAATAAATATTTAAAATAAAAATTAATGATAATACTTACATAAAGAAAAAAAAAAATGAAAAGGGAGAAGTAATGGAGAAAAGAAAATATGGTTCTTACTAATTTTGGTGAAAGTAATTTTACCCTTTTTTGATTAAACTTAAAAGAAAAATTTACACACTTATTATATTTTTAGCACTTTTCTAGTTAACTGATTGCTTCTTCTTAATTATAAAAAATACCATCTACTATAATTTGTGTGTGGTTAATAACTTAAGTTGTAGCCTCTTAGAAGTTTTATATATTAATAAAGTATTTTATGTATTATAGCTCGTTTTATACATTATAATTATTTTTTCAACATTAATTATGGAGAAATATTTATGTAAAATGCCTCGAAAAAAAAGTTCACATTAAAATGTTTTGAAATGAGATACTTTGATTCCAAATACTTGAGGTGAATTCTAATATTAACGACTTTGGCCAAAAGAAAGTGCGATAAAAAATTCAACAATATTATCATACATGTTATCATAGGGCGATGTTGAGCTATATATGAAAACTCATAAGTATATTATAGGCTTAATTGCAAATAAAACTATGACCTTTTCGAAAATTGCAATAATATGCACCACTTTCAAAAGCTGGCAAAAATATACACCACTTTCATTAATGTTTGCAATTTCATCATCTGTGCCCAATTTCAGGCTTTTATTGCTGATATGGCGAATTTCTGGCAATGTCTGTTGACATGGATGCTGATGTGATGATTTCTGCTGACATGACTGGTGATAAAAAATAAATCGTTGCTGGGATTCGAACTCAAAACCTCAAGGTTGTATATTGATGTAGTAAAAACTACACCATACAAGTTGTATGTCTACCTTAGTAGCGTTATATATATAAAGACATAACATGCAATAAACAAATAAAATTTAAAAGATAATGTAAATTATATTTAATAATATTAATAAGATATAAACTAATAATAATTAAAATATATTAAAATAAATTGTATATTAAATTAAAAATAAATAAAAATAAATAAAAATAAAGTAAGATAAATTTTATTATAGTAGAAAGCTTTAAAATTAAATGACATTTATATATATTTATATATTTCTTATTTTATTAAAATAAAACTAGTTATATAAATTGTAAAATGAAAAATAATAATGATAAAATTAAATTAAAAAATAAAATAGATTAAAGTACACCAATTAAAATAAAATAAAAATAATATAATATTATAAAATAAATAAAAAATGGTAAAGTAAAATAAAATAAATAAAAGAATAAATTAAATAACTAATTACAAAATAATAAATAAAAATAAATAAAAATATTAAATGAAAATAGTAAAATAAAAAAACCTTATTCAATTATAATATTTTATACTATAATATTAGTAAATTATTTATTAAAATAATATCAAATTATTTAATAAATTATTTTAGAGTATTATAATAAATATTTTATTTATTATATTAAAAAATATTATAATAGTAGCATATATCATTCTAAAATATATAGTAATATATTTTTTTTTGTAAAAAAGTAAACTAAATTTAATATAGTTTTCTCATTAATTTTAAAATTTAAGAATAATTTTTTAACAAGCACCCGTGTAATACACGAGTGTTGTACTAGTAATAAATTACATTGTTTTAGGAACTAAATCCAAATGTCTTTTCTACTTTTTTGGTCGTTTATATTCTTTAGTTGAAATAATATATGACTTATTTGATTGAAACAACTTATTTTCTTTAGGAAACAAATTTAAGTAAGACATCCAAAAAAAATTAGAGATTCTTAAGGTAACAAATTTGGAGATTGTTATGGAACTGAAAATGTACAAAGCCATTCACTCCAACAACATGCAATCAACCATATAAAACTTTAAATAAAACATCAACGTGATTTAGCTAACTTAGATATTTTAATATCACTTTACTAATATAACCCTTTAATTCTTTGTAATTTTACATAGTGAGAAACTAAGTGACTAATATATCTCTGACTTTTGATTTGTTTCATTCAATTAGCTATTAAATTGTAAATGTATTTAAAAAGTTGATAACTTTTGTATTTCTTATCGGTTTTACATATATAATATATCAAATTAATCATCTTTTGATAATCTTTGATTTGACATCCATATTGTATATATGAAATAAATAAATTATATTTATCTTTATAATAATAAAAAATAATAATATTTATTGAAATTCATTAGAAAAATAAAATTGTTTCTCAATTAATATATTTATGTTTAATGTAGTTATATATTGTAAGTTTTAAAAAAAATTATTATAATTAATACTGGTAAGTCGCACAAATAAAAAAGTGTCATACTAAATATATATTAATATATATGGTATGAGTTTTGGATCTCGAATCAGCCGAGCTTTTTGGAACCCAGCCTCCCACACCGATCGTTTGCTTTGAATACCTGCAAAAAGCCAACCCCGGAGAAGAGATATCCCCGGCTTGGCCCTCCGATGATTAAGTCAGTTCCCTTCTTTCTCGTTTTGTATCAATAAAATGGAAATTATGAAATCACTTACCTCTCTCTCTCTTCCCCTTGTCTTTTATACCTGGCAATCGTGGGTAATGATCTCCCATGTTGTAACCGCCTTGGCCACGTTCCCTTATTACTCCTTTGACCCGTTCTTCAGGGTTTGGTCGATTATCCTTCTGCTCGAACATGAGGCCACGTGCCCTTACTAGGACCATTTGCGTGTGCTTGAACCAATGAGATAATATCCCATATCATCTGGTCCCCCCTACTCTGATCGAGTGTTTACAACTTGATCGAGAGTAAATGGCGTCCATTCTAAATACCTTGGAATTGTTATGCAAATCTTGAATGATGTGGGTTAAATTTTTTCCTTTTTGATGTGATTGACTGAACTCACATTACTAATGATGAGTCCTCACGTGGTGTGGCTCTCTTTTCCAGATTTCTCTGTTTGTCTCGTTCACAGTGTCCACGCGTTTATTCACACCGCTAGATTTACTTTAATATAATGGTGCAAACCAATTCCGACCTTTCATCTTATCACCCCCTATAAAGATCCACCTCTTTCCCTTTTTTTTCACTTTTTCCTTCTGTGAACTTCTTGCCCTAATCCTTCACAATCAGATCTGTTTTTATTATCTGCGCGGGATCTTCCATTAATTTCCAGGTCGTCTCGCCCAATTCGCTCACTTGTGACAATGAGTAAGTCCCTACTTCCTTCATATTTTAATTTTGAATGCTCTTTGCCTTTTAACTTTTGTGGGTCCTCTGATATGTTGTACATCCCTATTCTGCCGGCGCCTTTGGATTGGTACGAACCAGTATGTGTTTTAATCTTCTTACTTCTTCCGACTTTCTTCAGATCCTTCTGATTCTGGGGAAAACGCCGGCGCGGGCGGTGACACCACTCTTCCGCCTCCCTTGAATGTCACTCCTCTAAGTGTTCTTCGTCCTACTGCTGTCGAGCCTGAGGCCTTCCACTTGTCTTCGATGAGTGGGAATCGTTGTTCCCACCGTAGGCCTGCTTTAGGGGAATTAGACGAGCCTGAGGGAAGCGAGGAAGATGAGGATGA